TGTCTTAGATCTCTACTCCAGGCTATGCACCAAAATTAATTTTTGATATGAAATGCAAGGAAGGAGAGAATAAAGAGATAGAAAAAAATCACTTAAGAAATGTGAATACAGGGAGTCTTCCTAAGCCAAAAGAAAGGCTATCCAATAAAATGAGGAGAGGTATGCTACATAAATGTTTAAAACTTATGTGCCCCAGAAATTACATGTAAAATTAAAAGGAAATGATAAAGAGGAACAAGTATTTTCAGTGTTCTAAAATATTAATTTTTATCTAAAAATATTCAGTATGAAAACACAACTGTGGCTAGTTATTAATATGCATCAAAACCTTAAAAAGCCATATATCCTTATATTTAGCAATTCCACAATGAGGAATTTATCCTAACATAATTAAAGAGAAAAACATTAACAAAAATATTTATAGCATTATTATTTCCATTATTATGTTACTTACATTAACTGGAAAACAATTCTATAAATATAATCATTGTTAAAATTTAGCAAAAGTCATCCAAAAATAGTCAAGTTTTCAAGTGAAAAAAAGTCCGCAGAATGTGGTCAAACAAAATTTTAAGTCTCAAATTCACATTGGTCTATCATAATGCAAAATGTTGGCAATGGTTTCTCTACGGAACAGGGTAACAGAAGGTTTCTTTTGCTTTCCAATATTTCAGGATATTTCCAAAGTATTATTTTATTTTGCAATACACAGAGACATTTAAAACTTATGGAAGAGGAAGATGCAAGATGATGGAAGACTTTCTGAGATCAGAAAACAAAGCCTCTACATTAAGGAGAAGCCGTATCCATTAAGCAAGGCTCTGAATGATGGCCATTGTATTTTCTATGAACCGAGTGGAGTAGAAAACTTAACGCTTCCACAGGATGATAGGAAAACAAGAGTTTTTCTTCACGCCCTGTGCGGTCAAGGTTAATAAGGTGTGTTCCTTCTCCACGCAGGTTGAGGGGCCTGAGAACTCTCTAGTACCTGGGGTCTGAGTACCTGTGCTGAGTACCTTCTCTTTGACTTTCCAGATCCACTCTCCCAGCTTCTGCCCCCTATTCTGGCCTACATTTTCCAACCTGAAAAGATGGCATAAAGTGGCTTCCAGTCCTCTGACTTCTCTTTGGATCTGGCCAATGGAGCGATTGGTGGGAGACCACAGAGCAGAAGAGGGTCAGGGTATTTAGACGCCCGCTCCCTCCCCGTGAGGTCACTGCAGTCCTCCACTGAAGGCCCTTGCTCCTGCTGGGCTCCTGTTAGGCAATGCTTTCCATACTACTCAGCCTCCCTCTGAAGTTCTGGGTTTTCCAATAGCTTCTCCGACCCTTGCCCCTTCAGGTCTAGGGCTGCAAAAACTTCTCACAATTACCTGTCCCAGACTACTGCTTTACCTCTCACTGCTTTTCCTAAACCCTGTCCACGCCTCTGTAAACAGTCTCTAATAAACGCTCAATCAAGTCACCAATTTGAGTGCGACCTGATTCCTAACAGGACCCGGCCTGATAAAGTAATACACGCAATGAAAAGAAAGTAAGGCTAAATGCTTTTATACTTCACAAGAGAAAAAAGGGGGACCTAAGGTGGTTAAAAAATTTTTTCATTCAAGTTTGAGATAAAAAGTTTAACCCTATGTTAACTCTATGATTCAATGATTATTTGATACCTAGAGCATCCCTATGCTTTCTGTTTTTTTGTTTTTAAAGACTTTGAGCAAGTTACTAACCCTTACATAACCTCAGCACATACAGGCCAGTGTATCAGAAAAGGGACACAATACTGGTTACCTACTTCCCATGAGACAAATTGCTTTTGCCACAAATTTAAAGGTAGACCCCCCCCCCAAGGTTCCCCTTGTATTGTATCACAGAACACCTTCTTACTTCGTCATGACTGGATTTTTCTTAGCCCCAAGCTCCACACACTAATCGAGTTCACTGCATCGAGCTATTTCTGGTCTGCTCCAGAGGAAAGCGGCAAGGACTCACAGGAGTTGATGAACCGTTTAAGGATGTGAGGAGCCCCCTAAAAAATGTCTTCTGAAACAGCAAGACCACCCCACGGGCTCGTTTCAACAGCAAGCTCCCGCAGAGGGGAAAAAGGCAGTTCTGAGGACAACATGGGGTCTGTCACTCAGGTGGTCTCTAGCCCAATTCCAAGGAAAGGGGGAAAATTCTCTTTTCACTCAAAATTGCAGTGAGGAATTCCAAACACAAGGCAGAATTACACTGATAAGAATGTAGGCAAGCACAGCACAAGAGATGGGAGAAAGTGATTCCCATTTAAGCAGAGGAATTGGGGCACAACAGTGAGTTAGCACTGGGGCCCTCCCTGAGTCGTGGAGGTCAACTCCAGCACCCGGGGAAGTCCCTCGAGTGACAGCTCTGGAGGTTCTCGTGCTTCTCGCAACTGGCACATCACCAAGGCACCAAGAGCTCATAGATTGGCAGCAGAACTGCCCTTGATGGTGGGCAAAATGTCATCAAATGGCATCAGAGGCTCTAGTGGGAGCCAAAGGCTTCAGCTGCCAACGTAGTCACAGTGTCAGCAACTAGAGGTGATGCTGGTGGCTTTGGAAATGGCAAGAGAGAGCATCCTTGGCAGTGGGCACCAGCAACAGTGGCTAGCTACCCTCATATGGCTAAAAGGATTCAAGAAGCAGTAGCTTAAGGGGACAGCTTCTCTGATATCAGCTCTCCTTTACTTTTTATTCTTGAACAAAAGTGAGTTTACAGTACTAGGTGTTATCTCAAGCCCTCAGAAAAAAAGATCATTGAAAGATAAACTCTGAATAGAGGGAAATCCAAGCGGTGGCAAGTCCGAAGTGACCGAGGGCAGCGTAAGGACAGTGTGAGATCACGATGAAAAACATCGTCTCCTTTCCATCTCTGCCAAGAACTAGGCTTAGATGTCAACAGGTCACAATTGCTATCACGCAACTGAAATATGAATGCTGGAGTCTCCATCTCCTGTTTCACTAATTTAATGAGTAATACACCCTAGGAAAAATGAAAACGCTGAAGGTATAAAAACATAAGGCTTCAAATACCTTGCAATATTTTGGACCCTACTTTTCTGTCTCTGTGATTCCTACAGAGTGGCAACAGGGAAATCAATGAAAATACCACAGAATGTATTGTCATAAACCAAATGTTTATGTCTCAACAACAGAGACAGTAACAAGGCAAATAACTTCCTCGAGCTTAGCAATAAGTTACAAGGCACCGTGCCAATACTGAGTAACGGTAAAAACAGGTTTCCTGCAGGCATGGGGTATCTTACTCCTCTTTGATACCCACCCCCTGAGTGTACCCACAGAGTAACGGACACCTACAAGGCTCTCCAGAACCTGAGCACCAGACCTAGGAGCGCAGTAATCAAGCCATAGTACTGACACTCGTGGGAACCGGCCAGGGACCTAGATGCCTTCTCTTAACAGCCACCTTCTCTCTGTCGCACGCTGTCATTGTGCCATCAGGGCCCACCTGAAAGAACTATCCTCACTGGTCCCTCCCTCCTCTTTTTCCCCATCTCACCTGCAACCTTAGAGATCTCTGAAAGCACATTTAATTATATTTATAAAAAAAAAGACTGGGAAAGCCACGGATGGGTAAATTATGGTGCTCCTCTGAGCTTCAGAAATGAAATAAGATGTAAGCGAAGGCTAAGGTATCTCTACAGAAGTATAAACACCTGCAAAATACCGCTGGCATTCACCTCCTTCTCTACTCTGCAAGTGCTGGTTACAAGGAGGATGCCATGAGACACGGGTAGGGAGTCTAGGTTCACTGATATAAACCAGGAGTAAGAACCCACAGGATTCTGGTTTTTCATTCAAAGCAAACTTCGACACTTTTTAAAATTGTTCAAACTGTGTCAGATGGTGAGAAAAATGGTTTGGTATGTGGTTCAAGACTGCAATTAAAAGCATTCCAACTTTGGAAAATCAAATGTAGGCAAGAAGACCGGAACAGCTATATGGGTAGATTCTTTCTGTAAGTAAAACACTGCAGGGGAAAAATGCTGTGAAGTGGTTGATGTGCTGGGTGGTGAGAAGTCTGCAATTGTGCAATCAGGTTGTGGAGTGACGTTCGTCTGTGTTCTCAGTCACTGACGCAACTTTATGACACTGCAGAAAAGCCCGTACATTACTAAATCACTTAAACTTTGATCCACTTAGGTCTGTCAATGAACAGAACTGAAAGAAGTACTTTTCTATAACCAGGTAGACGGACCTTAACATGAACACACCTAAGACAACCAGCAGAATAAAGCCTGCATAGGTGATCTTCAAAAACCAGATGACAGAGGTTTCAGTAGAGACGCATACAGACACACATGTATACGATACGACACGCTATCCTTTCCTTCTTCATTTCTTTTTAAAATTTCATGTGAACCTTTCACTTACAGAGTAAAAATATCTAGATTCCCACTCCATTTAAATATATTCAAGCAAAGCCCCTGGGAAGGTTTCCAGAGAGTTAGGTTCCTTTAAAAATGGCCATGCATTAAAGAAAGCTTTCGTCTAACAAAAGTGAAAGGGTAACTGATATGGTATCTGTACATTCACTCTGCACAAGGTTCCTGCAGCTCAAAAGCATTAGTCACAGACAAACAGCAAATCAGATTACAGCTCTGGAGAACCATACTCTGCCTCTTCCAGCAGCCCTGCCAGCTCACGCATTACAGAGGGCCAACCACCTGCTTCCTGAGGAATTTGTAATCTACCTTCTCCATTAGTTCCCCAAAGGGTCTCCTACTTTACCAACGTGCCCCCCCTTCATTCATTCCACTGCATTCACCTTTCATCTCCAAGAGATTCATTAACGATAAGCGTTCAAGGGTGCACTTTAAAGGCACAACCAAAAAGAAAAGCCTTCAGCATTATATTTTATAACGAAACAAAAACTCAAATTCTGCGAGTCTCCTGAGTTGGAACTAAAAGCCACTGCAGCAGGAGATCCATTCCTGGGTACCTGGCCTGTTTTCACATTACCTGCTTCAGTGTACTTCAATCCCACTTTTTCTTCTGTGTCCTTTGTCTTTGGGGGTGGCCAGACAGCTTGGAGTCTGCCAGGAGTTCTATCGTCCTGCTCAGTGGGGCTGTGCTCAGGCTGTTTAAAAAGTGGGCAAAGAAAAGAATAAGTTAAATGAAATATGGCCAAAGCCAATTATTCCCCCAAAACAAACATGCTGACTCTAACATTAAGAAAATTAATATTAATGGCCAGTTGCACATTGCGCTCCATGATCCTTTCCCAGAAAGGTAAAGTGATCAGCGGGAGCGAAAGTCAAAAAACAACTCAAGGCTATTGGGATGTAATTAATATACAGCATGGTAACTGTTGTCAATAATGTTGTATTTTAAACTTGAAAGTTATTAAGAAAGTAAATTTTAAATGTTCTCATCGCAAGAAAAGAAATGTGTAACTCTGTATGGGGATAGAGAGGGTAAAGAGTCTTACTGTGCTAATTGTTTCGTCATATATACAAATGTCAAAGGAATCATGCTGTACACCTGAAACTAATATAATGTTGTATGTTGATTATACTTCAATAAAAAAATTTAAAAAAACACCTCAAGGCCAAGTATTACACAACCCTTGATAGATGATTTTTATCATGTAACTATCTTTAAAAAAAATCACAAATATACTTTGAACTGAAGATATAGATACAAATGTACTACAATCAAGTACTTTTATAGGAATGTTTACAAGTGTATCCCAAACAACTCCACAGTTATTTATAATGCCTACTCTTTCATTTCCCATGAACATTAGCTGTAGGCGTAGATACACTTCTCAAGCACCCCACATTGCTATTTCAATTCTCTTTTCTTTCCTATTAAAAAAATGATAGTGAAATGGCCTTCATATTCAGGCTGTTTTTAACCTGTTGATTTTTACGACTATGCGAGTGTTATATTGTGTTTAGTTTTTAACTACAACTCAAGATAATTCTTCCGAAGACTTTTCAATTTTTAACATTTTAACTGATCAAGTATTTAAGAGGAAACTGTCATATTCTGAGTTGATACAAACCAAGAAATTCTCTTTGCTGTCCTTATGTACCTCTAAGATCTACTGGACAGGTAGTCTTTATAAATTATCAAATTAATTTTCTTTGAATAACAGCTTTTATTAATTAGATAGTTACCGTACACTAACTTCACTTAATCTTCACAGCCACCATAAAAGGTGAGGGTTATTCCTTTTTTTTTCTTTTCTCCTCATGAGGAGACTGAGGCTCAGAGATGATCAAGGTCACCCAGACAGTAAATGGCATTGTTAGAAATAAAATCCAGGCCTCATTTTAAATCCAGTGCTCAATCAGGATGCCTTGTAACCAACACAGAACATTTCAATTACATCACAAACAAGTATTCCGCCGACCGGCAGACATATAAAGGAAAAACACTCTTCACCGAGGTATATAATTTAGCGGTGAGGAAATCTGGGCGGTGTTTCCATATTGCAGTGCACCCTCATGCTGCTTAGTTTTATAAGAACATTTACCATTAACGCTTGAACTGGGAGTGACAGGTTCTCTTTCCTACCGGCTGTATTTACAGATACCTCTCTTCTGACAATCCATAAAAATACAAGGAAGGAGGAAAACACTTCTGTCCAACTCCCCACGCCTTACAAGGACAATTTCAATATGATCATCTCTCACCTAAAAGACAGTCACTAACGACAGGTGACGGGCATTCCCTTGGACAGGAAACCTCAAGAGAAATACAGCAGCATCACATTTTATGATTAAAAATGGGAAACCCAATTCTACATACGCTTCTGGAATCAGAGGGGCCCTCGGCTGGCCTTGCCTTGGACCGTTCAAACACGGCTCTTAGGGACTCCTTCTCATGCCTCATCTTGCGCTTGAGAGCCTCCAGCTCAGAGGTGTCAGCGGTGGTCCCCTTTTTGGGGGGACGGATGAACAAGGCTTTAAAGGCCTCCAAGGCGGTTTCTGGTGGCTTTGGCTTGACCTCTCCCCCCTGGGTCTGGGCTTCTCCGGGGCCGCCCTGGCTCCCCTGGGCCCCGCTGCAGCCCATCTCTCCTCCCCGGGGCGGCTCAGGGTCTTCTGCCCTCGGTTCGGCTCTGGGCATGTCAATGCTGAGGAGCTGGGAGAGCTGCTCCAGGAGAGTGGGAGTGGCCTTCAGGTCACTTGTCTTGTCCCCAGTCTTCCCCATCTGCGGCCCCGTCTGCGGCCCAGCCTGTGCTAGGGACTTCTGGACCGGCTGGGTCAACTTGAGCAAAGCCAGGTCCCCATCCTTCGGCTTGATTTCAGTGATGGTCTCCCCACCCTCGGCCGGGGCTCCCTTCTTCAGCACGCGAAGCCCACTAAAAAAAGCTGGGAGCTGGAACTTCTCTCCAGGGGCGTCTTTTTTAGAAGAGGTGTTCTCGGCGACGGCAACACTCAAGCTCTGGTCTGTCCCCACGGCTGGGGCCTGGGCACCTCCTTCTCCTCCGGCGTGTCCTTGGCCGGGGCTGTGCTCCGCGTGCAGACCACCGTCGCCAGGCCCGGGTTGGCCACCTGTCTCAGGCGGAGCCCCGGGCGGGCCTCCGGCGCCCAGCCGGTCAGCATCCCTCTCTCCGGTGGCAACAAGCTCCCTACAGTCTCCTGGCTTTTCCAGGGGCTCCTCCGATGGCTCAGAGAAAGCAACACTCGGGGGCTTCGGGCCATTGGTGGTGCTTCCCTCTTCTGGCTCCTGGCCACCGTCGTCAGAGTCGGAATCACTGCTGATGGTCACCAGGGTCCCGCGAACCAGAATGGCATCGTCTCTGCTCACGCTCAGGGCGGCGAGGGGAACAGGCTCCTGGGCAGGGAGAGAAACCCCTGCCCCTGCTTTCCTCTCACTGCCCTCCGGCTCCGTCTGGGTGTCCTCCCGTGCGGCCTCCCCATCATTCCCGGGGCCCGGTGGAACCCGAGCCTCCGCCTCCTGCTCATCCGAGCCCTCGCCGGGGTCACCCGCCTGCGGCGTGCGACCCGCCACCAAGCTGTGGAAAGCCCGCAGCACCACGTCTTCCTCGTCGGGCTTCACGGGTTCCAACTTATTCGCAAACCCAAACAGGGATTTCATGGAGAACTTGCTCAGGATGGACTGAGCCATCTCAGGGCCAGCTTCAGGCTTGTCTGGTCCCGAGACATCACTGCCATTCACGGGGTTACCAAGGTCCTCCATGTCCCGCAGCGGTGCCCTCGACGGCCGTCCTGCCCTGGGTTACCTTCCCCTGCTCTCAGTTTATCCACTCCATCAGCTCTTAACTTACAGGGCAGCGCGCAACAGGACCCGGCAGCCGGAGTCCGGGCGGCGCGGCGCAGCGCAGCGAGCGCGCTCCGGTGCCTTTTCGGGCCAATCCCTGCGCTCTCCTTCCGGCCTGTGCGCCGGGGCGCCCGGGGCGGCCGGGCGAGTCCGCGGAGCCGTCTGCCGGGAGCAGCGGGGGCTGCGCACCTTACTACA